CCCCCCCCCCCCGGGACCCGGAGCAAAGATTGTTCTATTCCTTTAATGCACCATTATCCGAATGATCTTGGATTGATCTGTTTAGTAACTATATAAATAAACACAATTGGGTTGAAGAATCCAATCTTTAATTTCCCTAAAGAAATTCGTGCACCCTAATTTGAGTTCAATTTGGGAGCGTTTATAATACCCTCATTAAAGAAACGTAAGATCCGTTTTCGGAGTTTAAGATTCCAAACTTGTTTAAGAAAACGTCCAAGTTCGTCCAGACGGGTTATGTGTCTTTAGTCTAATAATGTAATAAAAACGGCCATTTAACAAATGGTAAACGCCATAGCGTGTACTATTGAGTTATGGATGCACGCGGGAGGTTGCTAACCACGAAAGAAGCGTAAGAGTCGCACGAGGCGACAGCCGAGTGCGACTCTAGCTTCTTGAGTGCTTAGCAANGCACACCAGTAACTCGATAAAGTTTCATCTTCACACAACTGTGAAGACAGTTTCGCATTTCTGGGAGAAGGACGTCGGCCATTACTTTAGAAACAATGTCTGTCAAAAGATTTGCTTTGTAAACATTAGCACACACGTCAGAAGCGTACACCCATGGGCAAATAGTAGACGCTAAATTAACCAATCAGAGCGCGTGCTTTGCTTTAGTTATGTTATAATATTGGAGTATTGACTTGTTATCTTTCTCTCTCATTCAACAGTGTTCAACAAAAAACGAGAAAGTATGAATTCTGCTCATCTTATCGTGGTTCTACTGTTACAATGGATCACAGCAACACACGAACAGCAACCCAACCATCCAAATTTGTATTTTTCTTCTAAGGATATAGATCGTCTACGGCAACAAGCGCTAACAACGCACCGCGACATTTTCGCTCGCTTGAAGGAGGCAGCCGAAGAAATGAAGAAAAAACCGTCGAGGTTCCTTCCTCCACGTGATTGGAACGAATTCGCTGGCAGATGGAACGAACATCACGGAAATAACTTTGGCGCTCTAGCAATGTACTGTGTCTTAAACGACAATGATCTCTTAGCTAGAGATGTTGCCATGCAGTTCTTTGACGCATTTGTCTCCTTACCCAACTGGCGTGTAAGCGCTTCCATGGTAGATGATGTTCCAGTGGCACATAGCTTGGTTGCTGTAGCAACGGCTTACGACTTTATGTACGAGCATCTTAATGACACCCTTCGATCAAAAGTCCTTCAAAAGGTGTCAGAGGTTAGCAAGGAGCTTTACGAAAGATCATTTAAGCTTTCTTGGGGCACACAGTATATTCAAAATCACGTTGCAACTAATTACGTCGCTTTTTTCACTGGTGCCTTAGTCGTTGAAAACCACAACAAAGAAGCGACAATTTGGAAGGAAAGAGCTCATCTCATGCTCAACAGAACGATGTTTCTTCTAAGCCATGTTGTAGATGGTTCCATGGAGGAAGGAGTTGCTTATGGCTCGTACACCTCACGGTCTTTGACTCAGTACATTTTCCTGGTCAAGCGACATCTTGGTCTTGATTTGACAAACAACATTTGGCTGCGACAACACTTTTGGTTCCTTTACCGCACCATTCTTCCAGGTTTTACAGAGACGGTCGGCATTGCTGATTCAAACTCCAATTGGTTTTACGGCCCCGAAAGTCAACTCGTTTTCTTGGATAATTTTGTCATGAGAAATGGTTACGGAAACTGGCTGGCAAGTAATATTCGTGGGTTACGATTGGAGGATCCTCAAATGAAGGGCAGCTTTGGGCATCGCTTCTGCACACTACACACTGAATTCTTATTCTTCGATGCAAGCATTCCCGAGAAAGAACCACCTAATGCATACATACCTCAGCTACATGTTTTCCAAGACTGGGGTGTCGTTACTTATGGAGGTGGCACTCTAGATAAGGACGGGCAGAGCAGTACCTTCCTCTCGTTCAAGTCCAGCGTTCTGCATGGCAGGGCAGTGAACGAAATTGTTAGACGGAAACCTTATGACTGGATATCAGGATGGCGTAATTTCAATCCGGGCCACGAACACCCGGACCAAGGTTCCTTTGTATTTGCACCCAATGGGGTTCCTTTCATCACCGAGGCCCTTTATGGACCAAAATACACTTGGCTTAACAATGTACTCTTATTTGGACCAACAACCAAGCCCACTTGTTCTGGGCCCTTTGAAGGCCAAATTGGAGACTGTGAAAAATGGCTGAATTACAAAGACGAAAGAATATGGCTTGCTGACGCTGGTATTGTTGCTTCCTCACAATCTGAGGAAGTTGTTTTCATAAGTGGCGAAATGTCCGGATGGTACAATTCTTCCCTTGGACTTACAAGTGTGTATCGTGCTCTTCTTCTGTTAAGACCTGGGGTTCTTTTAGTAGTTGATCATATTGAAACGAGAGTGGAAAGCCCATCTCGATACGTTGGAACGTTTTTTCATAACAAAGATTCGCCCTTTGAGCTACAAGAAGACAAAGATGGGGAAGCATCTGGCTCAATTACTTTGTATGGTGAAAAGTACCTAGTTCTCTTCGGCGACTCTCATAGGGGACACAGCATTGTACATTCCCAACACACAGAAAATCGTGCAGAAAGTGGACTTAGAAAGACTTACTTCCTCAACATCACAACAAAGTTAAAGCAGAAGCAGACGAGATTGGCGTATGTTTTTGTCGCACCCGGAAATAAAGTGACGGTCCCTCAAGTACAAGACGATGAAATTGGCGTGCAGGTGTCTTTAGAAATCAATGGCCTCTCGTATCTTGTTTCCATTGCCACAAAATACAATTCCTTGCAGACAAGGCGCGCTTTTCTCGGTTTTGATGGCTTTGCAAGTGTTAAAGTTAATTCCAAGTGTGTAATGCAGTTTGGAATAAACGAGATGTCAACTCGTGGTATATTAAAGCGGGACAGTTGTCGAGTATATAGTTTCACGATGACTCTTTTTATTCTGTTTGGATTGATCGTTTGCTTTGCTGTATTTAACTTTGTAATCTTATCAGGATCCCGTAGAGGTGGTTTCAAATGCATTCGAGGCATCTTCACGCCTGTTTTCATCTTTGGACTGATCTTAATTTGGTCCATTGTGTCAGTCTTTTCGAATAAGGTACGTTAAAACTGACGAGCAGTCAGTACCTCGCACTACCATTTTGAGGTTACATAATGCTATTTCGAATTCTTTCGCTAGCGAGTAGATTTGTCTTAACTGCAGAATACGGTGCCACTTGAGCACATTCAGTACTGCGCATTGCTCGTTCATTAAAAGTATGTGCTCAAGTAGAATCGATCACAGTTGAGGCGGGTTATTCTGCAGTTCCTTTGCAAAACTTTTAAGTAACTTTAAGCTCCTTTAACCATTTAACCGATAACAAGAGAGAATGATCTAGGTGAAAAACCCTTTTGCCCTAAGATAAACTTTTTGAATTATATCATTAGTTTCCTAATAAGAGATGCCAGAGTTTTAAATAAACATCTGGTGATACTCGCTATATTAATCACGTAACTTCGTAGCCCGTGGCAACATCCAGATTTTACGCCTACAGAAAAACGAATTTTGCCGAATTCCGCCGAAGTTATCACGGTCTGTGGCAAAGGCTTGTACGTGGAAATCCATCTCCTAGATCATGCTTTCTTCACCATAAAACGAAATACTACAGAAATATATGGAGAATAATAGATGGGCGCGCGTAGATATGGAATTTCTCTTCGATTGTACTGTTCAACTCGATATTTTACGAGTGAGCGCAGCGAACGAGTGAGATGTAAAGTTGAACATAAAAAGACAAATTTCATATCTACAAGCAACCATGCATTATTTTGTTTATTACATAAACATACTAATGATGACTTTTTTGGCGATTTTCCCACGATTTCCGAACACTGTCCGAAGATTTCCGAAGATTCTCCAAAAATTGTCCGAAGGCCACACAAACGTTTCTGAACATTTTCCGATCGACAATATCAGGTCAAAAGATTATGATCTGTATATAATCTCTTGATCAGGTTTATCAGTTCGTCAATGAGACCCTATTAGGGGTTTTCAGGATACCGGATATTTGGGTAATCAATTAACAGGATACACGAAATTTAGGGGAAAAATTAATGGGGTAGAGCATGTTTATAGCTTTCTTGGGGCACACAGTATATTCAAAATCACGTTGCAACTAATTACGTCGCTTTTTTCACTGGTGCCTTAGTCGTTGAAAACCACAACAAAGAAGCGACAATTTGGAAGGAAAGAGCTCATCTCATGCTCAACAGAACGATGTTTCTTCTAAGCCATGTTGTAGATGGTTCCATGGAGGAAGGAGTTGCTTATGGCTCGTACACCTCACGGTCTTTGACTCAGTACATTTTTTTGGCCAAGAGACACCTTGGTATTGATTTGACAAACAACATTTGGCTGCGACAACACTTTTGGTTCCTATACCGCACCATTCTTCCAGGTTTTACTGAGACAGTCGGCATTGCTGATTCAAACTCCAATTGGTTTTACGGTCCCGAAAGTCAACTCGTTTTCTTGGATAATTTTGTAATGAGAAATGGTTACGGAAACTGGCTGGCAAGTAAAATTCGTAGGTTACGATTGGAAGATCCTCAGGTAAAAGGTAACTTTGGGCAGCGTTTCTGCACACTGTATACTGAATTTTTATTCTTCGATGCAAGCATTCCCGAGAGAGAACCACCTAATGCATACATTCCTCATCTGCATATTTTCCAAGACTGGGGTGTCGTTACTTACGGAGGTGGCGCTCTGGATAAAGATGGGGAGAGAAGTACCTTCCTCTCGTTCAAGTCCAGCGTTCTGCATGGCAGGGCAGTGAACGAAATTGTTAGACGCAAACCTTATGACTGGATATTAGGATGGCCTAATTTCAATCCAGGCCACGAACATCCTGACCAAGGGTCGTTTGTATTTGCACCTAATGGGGTTCCTTTTATCAGCGAGACCCTTTATGGGCCAAAATACACGTGGCTCAACAATGCACTCTTATTTGGACCCACAACCAAGCCCACTTGTTCTGGGCCCTTTGAAGGCCAAATTGGAGACTGTGAAAAATGGCTAAATTACAAAGACGAAAAATTATGGTTTGCTGACGCTAGTGTCGTTGCTGCCGCACAATCTGAAGAAGTTGTTTTCATGAGTGGCGAGATGTCTGGATGGTACAATTCTTTCCTTGGACTTACAAGTGTTTATCGTGCTCTTCTTCTGTTAGGACCTGGGGTTCTTTTAGTAGTTGACCATATTGAGACAAGACCAGACAGCCCAACCCAATACGTTGGAGCGTTTTTTCATAACAGAAACTCGCCCTTCGAGCTAAAAGAAGACCGGCATGGAGAAACAGTCGGCTCAATTACTTTGCGTGGTAAACGGTATCTTGTTCTTTTAGGCAACTCTCATAGAGGACGCAGTATTGTACATTCCCAACGCGCCGAACATCCAAGCGAGAGTAGACCTAGAAATACTAACTTCCTCAACATCACAGCAAGACTAAAGCAGAGGCAAACAAGATTGGCGTACGTTTTTGTTGCACCTGAAAATAACGTGACGAAGCCTCAATTACAAGACGATGAAAATGGCGTGCATGCTTCTTTAGAAATCAATGGCCTCTCGTATCACATATCAATTGCTACTAGGTTCAATTCTTCACGGGGAAGGCGTAAGTTCCTCGGCTTTGATGGATTTACAAGAGTTCAAGTTGGTAATAACTGTGTGATAAAGTTTGGATTACGGAACAAAGCAGCAACTCAGAGCATTAACCAGTGGGCCGTTAGTCCAGTATTCTCTTTCAAAACAAATTTCATTATTTTCTTTGCATGGATCCTTGGTTTCCTTGTAATATTTCGAAGTGCATTCTATAAATTTCGACGGCGCATTTGTACTATATATTTGATTTTTGGACTCACCTTACTACCGTGGATTATAACAGTGTTCTCATAAGACAAATTATACTCTGTAAAAACGCGACGCTCAAAGATTTCGTGCCAAAATAAACACTTTTCCGGCATTGGGTTTGTCAAAATTACAAAATGGCAAATCATTCCAAATAATTGAGGACGACATGGACACGTACAATCCTGGTCAGAGTAAAATAAGAAATAAAAGTAGCCCTTCCCCCCAAGTCAATGATGAACACGCGCTAAAGCCAAATCGCACCATTTTTTTTTGTTCATCGTTGAAATGAGGGGAGGGGTGGTCTTAACTTTTCATTTAAATTGACCGAAATTGTAACTTCAGATCGAGAGACATTCGATATTTACAGAAATCTTGTCCTTTTCAACTCATTTTTCGCGTCGTTACCCGTTGTATATACGCGGCTCCTCAAATACTTACCAAATGCCTGGAACAAGTTTGTATTACTACATTCAACATGGCCTCCGCGCCTTTGTCATTGAAATCTCTAGGGATTTGTCGCAAACTGAGCATGACGTCACGTCATCCACATTGGTGTTCCAAAACAATGAAACGGCGGTCATGTTGGTGTACCATGCCAATCCTGTGGGATTTGAACTCTTTTCTTATGTAAACATTTCCATTTGTTTCAATAAATTTGTATATGTGCTGGCCATGTGAATGAAAACGCTCCATAACCTTAAGTCATAATTACTCAACAATCGAGATCATCGAAGAATTAAAGCAATAATGTGAACTGACTCGAGACGATCATCATAGCCATCAAAATCGTTACATCAGTCTCTGCATTAGAATTGCAGGAAGCATTCCACTATTAACTGTCCTCTATTTTTTATGCTTTCATTAAAACAAAGGAGCACCTTGGGATGTTTAGGAACATACCATTATTTTCTCAGGACGCGTGGGGGGCGGGGGAATTTTTGGGGCAGGAATTTTTTTCTCGCCTTTAGATTTTGCATGAATTTTTTTGGTGGGCAATGGCTGGTTTGCAGTGTCACGCCATCAAAAATAAAAATCGTAACCATTCAATAAATTAAGTCAAGAAGCTGAGATATGAAAGATGATTGATATAGAAATAACCTCGCCAACTTTTAAGTCTGTACGGTTTTCCATCCGCGCGTTATTCGGAAAAGTGTTTCACCCAAATTTATAGAGCTTTGTATGGTGTCGCCATGTTTGTGCCCCTCAGAGGGACACAAACATGGCGGCCGTTAAGTAACAGAAACATCTGTCATTCAGTTTTGCCATTGAAACGAAACGTTATTACTCTAAAGCTCCGATACATTGAAATTAATACTTTGTCTTGAGCAAGAACTGTTTAGTTAGTTAAAACTTGAGCAATAACTCATCTTTTGACTCACTTGACAGCCTTATCGAGCCGCCATTTTAATGTCACGGTACGCATAAACTTGGAAATTCCGACGTGCTCCATTACATAATGAGGAACCCTGTCGGGCTTAAACGTTGCAAAACGTCAAGTTATTAGTGGGTCTTACATCTGATGAAACTAAAACTTCACAAGGATTGGTAATTTCTTATTTTGGAAATTGATGACGTCACATGAAAACCGGCAATAGCTTGCCCGAGAAGTT